ACACAAGCATGAGTCCAACCCGCTATTGTATTTACCAACACACAAGGGAGGGAAGGGTTTACAAAACCTAGAAACCCTATATAAAGCGACAAAGATCAAGATTGCCCATTATCTTACAGTAAGCACTGATCCTCACGTCCAGCTGGTGTCATCATTTCAGAACTTCAAAGAAAGGAAGTCATTAAGATCAATAATTAAAGATGCGAAGACCTTCGGAAACCAACTCGACATTGATATAGATTACAACAGAGCAGAAAGCAAGACCACCATCAAAACAAAAGAAACGACTCATGAAGTAAACAAACATCAACCCAAACACCTGAAACCGATTCTTAAGAAGGTTATCGAGATAAGACTAGAAGAAGAAGTAAAACAACAACAATGGATAGGCCAGTACACAACAAGACAATGGCAAGATTCAGATCTACACCACGAGTGCAACAATATCGCAAAGATTTGGCCTAACATCCCAAATGTAGTTTATAGCATACATACAAGCATAGTCCAGCAGTTAGTCACAACAAAAGTTTACAATACCATGAAAGTTCAAGCAGGTGGTGGTGGTCTGTTGTGCAGCTTCTGCCATAACAGCCAAGAAACAGTACCACATATAATGTGCAGCTGTCCTGCCATCGCACAAACGTTGTACACAGCGCGTCATGATCGCATGCCACGCCCAGTCTACTACGCGATTCTAAGGACCCTTGGAATAAACAACGATAAGAACCAAACAACTCCTTGGCACAAAGAACAACAGCCAAAATGTTGTGTTGAAACCAAAGAAGTCAAAGTACTATGGAACATCCCCTTACACCTAGACGTTGCTCCTAAGGATGGTGCTAATAAACGTAATATCTGTATCTGTAACAGTAAGGAACGCCAATGGATCATATTCGAAGGAACAGTGTGTAACATCGGGAAGATTCAAGAGAGAGATAAAATGAAAACGAACAAATATGCAGATTTAAGAGCTAGCTTAAAGAGACTGTACCCTGACTACATTATTACACAAGTCAACTTAGTGTTTGATTTCCTCTCTGGGTACCACAAAGATCTTGTAAATAAGCTCAATAATGTAGGAATAACAGACAGCATGAATGTTATTCGAAAATGCCAGAAATGGATTATAGGACAGAACTGCGAAATCGTGAAAGCTCTCCACAAGCACAAATAACCAGTCTGTAATAACTAGGGAATTGCTTAGATTTCATTCCGCAGTTTCACTTGGAGATATACTTGTAAACAAGTCAAAGTTTAATAAACAAAATAATAATAATAATAATCTAAGCTTATAAAGCGCTTATAAAACYTTTTCTAAGCGCAAATAAAAAGATAAAAATTAAATAAATAATATTTATTTTATTATAATTAATAAAAATTAAAGATAAAGAAAGTTACAATRGAGTTACAGATCATTAGTTTGTTTAAATAAGAAGGTTTTAAGAGCAGTTTTAAAATTATCAAGTGAAGAAATGTCTCTGATTGAAGATGGAAGTGAATTCCATAGAAAAGGTCCAGCAACACTAAAAGAACGATAACCATAACTTTTGAGATTGTAAGACTTGGAAGACAGTACCAGTTGAGAAGACGAACGAAGGCAACGARAAGGACGATATTTTTCAAGCATGTCTTGAACATAAATAGGAGCCAGGCCATGAAGAGCTTTGAAAGTCAGAAGGAGAATTTTAAACTTGACTCGTGCGGAGACAGGAAGCCAGTGAAGATCGATAAGTAGAGGTGTAATGTGGTCACGTTTTTTTAGAAAGCATGATAAGACGGGCACAGGCATTTTGGACAGCTTGTAGACGATCCATTAGATATTTAGGGAGGCCATATAGTAGAGAATTGCAATTGTCAAGTT